CACACACACACACACACACACACACACACACAAACCAACAGACACACTTAGCGCGTTACATATAGTAAGGTGTTTGTAGTACAACTATAAACATTGTGATACTATATGAGAACTCGTCGGTGTAAACAAGGGAGGTTGAGTTTCCGTTCGGTACAGCGCTATCCCACTCAGTTGTCGCTGCGACTGCAGCAAAAGGAGCAAAACAATAGATTGGTAGAAGAAACACTGCACCTTCTACTACAACTAATTCTCGTCAAATGTATCTTTCTATAATTCAGTTTCATCTTTAAAGTGAACGAGCAAACTTGAACTCACCCCGAAGCCGAAGTTGGCGTGGTATGGGTTACACATCGGTGGTTTGCAATTAATAGGGACATAAGTTCTTGCTAGTTTTCCCAGTGGTAAACGAGGCTGCGCATCTGAAATTGAGCATACATATCTCGGACCCTTCGGTGACCGAGGTGATCTAAACTTCGTCCTTGAAAAGATGCTTGATTCTGCTCTCTACATCGTTCATGGATTCCAACCCTGGGATTTCAAGAAAATCCGATTTCGTCTGCTCTGCTGTGCTTTTAACGCTTAATATCAAAAAAAATTAAGGAAAATCCTTTGGCCAAAACGCGATCCTAGTTATGGTTTTGCTCCATATCGAGCGTANAAAAAAAATTAAGGAAAATCCTTTGGCCAAAACGCGATCCTAGTTATGGTTTTGCTCCATATCGAGCGTATTTATATTTACCACCATGTAGTCGGCTTCAGTAGGTTGCAGTAAGCAGGAGTTGCGGAAAAAAACCGAATCAAGTACAGAACTGTTACAGCAACAGAGCAACATTCAAGTGTTTGAGTTCTAATTTATATGCAATTATTGATGCAATCTATTGAGAACACCTACTTCTGTTGTATTGTAGCGAAGGATCGCTCATTAGCTTGACAAAATCCTCTTTTTCCAAGTCCAACATATTCACCGGGTAGTTGACGTAACCGAATTTCGTGGTTGTATCATGGATTCTGAAATATTGCATTAAATAGTTAATCCGGTGCACTTTTCACATGAATTCAGATGAGAAACCTGTTGAAGAATCTTCCATAGATGTCTAGCATACCCCAAGACGGCACGGCTATGTTCATGTCACCTCCGATATGCTGTAACCGTACAGTTGTGATCGTTTTTAGATACAATCGAAAATCCTCAATCTTGCCCCTGTGGCCACCTTGTGTACAGCAAATATGTATAACAGAAAGTTGTTAATAGAAACTTGATGGTAACCGATATGACACATTTTTCCCATGTAAAGGTGCATAGGTTATTCTAAAGGGGAGACGGGCAGATGAATCGTTCTGTAAAATCGATTCACCGCACGCGGCAGTCGCGCACCCCGTTCCTGCAGATCTAGCTTTCTTCATACAGCTAGATCGATACAGCTAGATGAAATGTAATCATTATTTTTGGCCATTGTTACTTCTTTTAGTACTGTACATTTTACTCGCTGCTGCCGCTGCCCTGTTTCTGCATTGTTCCGCTACATTATTCCGTGCCAAACTTCGCTCTCGCCCCGAAGCGACCATTTCGATCCAACTACACCACACCCATTCATTTGCCTTTTTGAAGGGTTAAGGAGTGAACTGAATCCATCTTCACAGATCTTTCCTCAGATCCACAAATATATAGTCTTCATGCTTGCTGTGTATTAATTTCAGCTGTTCAGCACTAAGCATTAGACGTCAAAGAGAACATCCACACCATACTTTCGAAGATGGTCCGCTCCGTGGTCACAAGGAGTCGTAGTAACTAATTTCTCATAGTCAATCGCGTTCTTTTAATTTTTAGCCCAAGATTATTTCTATAGCTGTTCGAAAATGAGCCTTACCCTGTATTCTCCACCATTCCAAAGACTCCTGCTGCTAGTTCCCACCTTCTATCATTCATGGAATTCCTTCTTAGGAGATCCATCGTTTTTAAGCGCATCTTTTGTGGAAGAATAGTATTAATGCAAGCTTTTGTTGAGCTCATGTGGCTGACCCGAATCAAAGGAATAGTGTCCACTGATGTATGGAAGGTTCGTATGACTTCAGTGTTTGGGTTCATAAATTGGAAATGCATACTGCCAAGATCTGACAATTGAGCAGAATTCACAGCCTGCATGCGCACACAATGTCAGTAGTTGATCTTTAGTTCAAGTCCTTTTGACTATCATTTTTTGTCGAAATTGCTTGAATGAAATTACAGAACCGAAATGAAATTTTCACTCAAGTGGGTCCTAGTTAGTTCCTATTGGACACTGATAATAAACGGTAAACCATTACATACTATGCAATCAGTGTCATGTGCGCTCAAGTTTGGACATTTTGAACCCAACGTTGATATCTTCAGACAATGCCCATTTCACACAAAGTTGGCGTTATAGACGAAACTAGAGACTAGACACATGCTGTGCTTTCCGGGCACCGTGCTCTAACCCCTTATACTACCGAGACCTGGCTTCCCTTGCCTTCCGTATGTGAGTGCTGATAAGTAACGGCGGTAATATGTAGTTCAGTACCCGAGATATAGATGGATCCAAATCGAGACCTCCAGAGAACTGGTTTTGAAACGGAAATACGGGCCAATAATCGCCAAGGTGGGATCTTCCAGGAAGCGGCTCTTGAGGTCCTGAAATGATTATATGATCAAATCAATGATCATAAAGTTTTTCTGTTGAGCTATGATTTATCGATGAATTAAACATAACTCAGTGCGTTTGAATGTAAGAAATGCTCTGAATATTTATACCGCCATTTTCTGTACTTTGCTGGGTTGTTTTTGGGTGGGACATTTTACCGCTTCAAGATACTTCTAATTACATTTGCCTCAGCATTCGGCTTGTTCTTCTGCTTCAGAATTCTGAACTTGATTCAAGCTAGAATTGGAACATCACTTCTTCCACGCTCAGTCCACTCTAGCTTCCGTCTTCTCGGCAAAATTGGCACAGGGGGTGACACTAACCATATATATGTTCAAATTCCTGAGGAACTTCGAATAGAGTCCTAGGTATCAGAGATCAGAATGCTGTGTATGGATATAGAACTTGAAAGAGTGAAAGACTAAACAAATTTCCCAAAAAAAGCTAGAGGCATTCAGAGGTCGCTCGGAGGTGGTGTCAAGTGAAATGGGCAGTTGCCCGCAAACACAGCAGGCCACGATGTGCAGAGGCACACGTACTGCCATATCTTCGTTAGTGCAATATCGAGGAGCAAGTTAATCCCCGCCGTCGTCAGATTTTTTGCAATATCGACGCATCGATATGAACAAGACCTCCTTGTCGAACATCTTATATGCAATGGTAGGAAGGCTCGAAGTCTACTAGTTGTCAGGAGACATCTCCCGATAATGGCTTTCCAGGTAATAAACCAGCGAGGAATCGTGCAGGCTACAAGTGAGCATTAACTCATGTTTGAACTTGCGACTCTGCGGAGAAGCGATGAAGGATTCGCAGGAAAGAAGAGCTGCAGATCTGGCTGCAGCTGCCGAAACTTGGATATACCCCACCGGGTCTTCGCCAATTACAAGACCAAGATGGCTTCCATCGTCTTCCTGACGGAACATCTAGTGCATTCGCAAGTCTATGGAGGAGGTCACTTATTAATTCCAGTCGAATCTCTTCGACAGCCACGTATATTTACCTGCCCACCTACCACCTTAGACGGGATTGATTTCTTCCTTCAATGCTTCGTCCTTCTACATTTTGACGTGCTATCACGTCGATATAAAATCAATTCCGGTTGGTCCCAATAGGGTTGAATCAAAATAATCAATAAGTCTTCCACCAACTATCGTGCTGTTCCTGTCTTAGTTGTTCACGCGATACAAGCCGGAATTCGTAGTGCTCACGTCATAAAAATTGAGCAATGCCGTACTGTTCAGCCGTTCGAATCCCGGATCGATATCCGCCTATGCCAATCAGGTCCCAACGGGGTCGGCTGATTGGTAAACTCGTCTGGGAGGATAAAATCATTGACTTGAACACCGGCTGGCCAACGCGAATCATTGTACGTGGCACATAAGCATTCGAAACGTCGCTACAATTCCGAAGGGATGTATAGTTTGGGGCGCATCCCACAACCGAAACTGAGAGACGCCAAAAGGCTTTAAAGGCACGGTACACGATAAAAATGGTCTTTGAGTTCTTCACTTAGGAATACTCAGTGGCCCCCAGGGGTAATACCCTCTCGCGCCCAGAAACTTGACGGTCAGGGCATAGTGGAAGCCCTGTTACCGGCTCGCCCTTCGATCGATGTCACGGCAGACGAGTGTCGAGGCGATACAGATTGCAATTATTCGCTCTGGGACCCACACACAATCAGCTGATCGCCGAGTGATGAGGCGATATTTTTTGCCACTCTTTTTTCCTCTGTTATCTTTTTGCTCTTTTTGCTGCCGCGATCCCTTATTTAATTTCCTACCTTAAGAGGCTAAAAAGGTGAGCCTTTCTGCTGTTACTATGGTTTTTGTTTAATTACGCTTATAAGTTAGTGAATTTTTGTTTACCGTTGTCAGTTATTTGCACCGGAACCCACAAGTAGGCAATGACCCGCATTGCATAGCTCGTCCAAACGTCCCTGTTCTTCAATCTTTTGGTCTCATTCTCGTCCAGCCCCCTTTTTAACAGTTCTTCGATGCCTTTTTTTCACTTTGGAAACACCGATTCACGCAGTTTCTTCGCCCTTATCGTACTACTTTTCATCTTATCTTCCATTTTTCATCATAATCTGGATTATTCAAAACTGTCGTGAACTGTGCCTTTAAGCTATCAAACTGTACGAGTTGGGATTGTATTGAACAGCGCACTATCCCATACATGGTCCATGAATCATCCTGGATTTCGTCGTAGGTTGTATTATTAGCCTTCGAGATTTTTAATAACTCTTTATCCACACGGCTTACTTTTCGGCAAAATCGCCTTCGTCGGAGCCTGTAAGTCGAAACTATATTCGTGATTCGTGGGTTACCATTTCAAACTACAAGAAGAGAATTCGAAAGGAAAGTAAAACAGAAGCGATGAGCTGACCTGAAACCGGCTGGAGCTGTTTGTCTGCACCCTGAGCCCGAAGTTCTCACTGCGTTTTTATATGTGCTGGGACTCAGAGGTCAGGTCAGGGATTGCTCCAGGGGACCTCCCAAAATGTAAACTAATAAATAAGGTCATACGAGGTCAGGTCCCTGCCAGTGGTCGCGCATCGCCCTTGGTATTGATTAATCAGCGAGTCTGGATATTTTCACCCGTCACCCCTGCCCCGGCGCCCCCGCGGGGGTATCGACTGTGTAGATCAAAGCCACACAAGTCCGCGAATGGCGCGAGCTCCTGGTAATCGCCACGCATTCGTCCTTACTGTTGATTTTCGGGTTCTTTGCTGCGATCCACAGTGCCTCCAGAGTCTTGCGGGCTGAGATGTCATCTTCACGAGACAATATCATAACAGAGACCTTCACACCTTGCTGTATCTTGTGATCACCCAGAGGCGTGGAATTTCTTGACCTTTTTAACCCTTCCAAATGCTCTTTTATCCTGACGCATAGTGGTCTTCCCGTTTCCCCTACATATTCCTCCCCACACAGTTGGCATGTGATGAGGACTCCTGAGATCATACAGTCACCTTTCCTTCCGGAAGGGCAAATCACACAGGACCCTCAGGTGGTGGAAGGCTCAAATCCTGGATTGAATCATCTCAGGCCAGCTAGCCTTCCACCACCTGAGGGTCGAATGATTCGGAGCAGATTTGTTGAGAAGTTCACAAGGACCAACTTGTACATTGGCTGCTTCTGCACCACAATTCAAAGGTCACATACGCAATCAAACACCACTGATTATGATTTTGAAGATGGAATTGATCAACGCCGAAAGACTTCATGTTTTATTTCCTTGGGAGATCTGACGAAGGGCCGTTAGTCAAAAAGGTCGACATACCGCCAATTAGCCCATGTTGCTTATGTAAATAAAGTATTTTACAAAGCACTTATGAAAATTTTTTTGTTAGGCAACCAACTGAAGATCGTGGGAAAGCAAAAGGGCAAAGGCGACGACATGATGCTGGTAACTTCAACAAATTGCAAACAGCAACAAATATGTCGATCATGAGTAATGAAAGTCGTTTTCAAAGAAGCCATCAAAGCAAGTGTCACGCATGTCTTGTGTCTGTGGCGGTTGTATGCCGAAGGTCCCTAGTTCAGTACGACTAGGGCTTTTAAGGAATTTTTCAGCTATGGAATGAGGCAATAGGAGAAAATGTATGTATTTACATATTGAAAATAGATTATGCAAAAGGTAGTGGAAGGAGACAAGGCATCGTCACACCTGGAATCATGTAGACGTTTGGCGTAAGACGCTTCCTCTTTGATTCGCTGTTTGCATCCTGCTTCAAACGTTTGTAGAGAAAGTCGTAGACGCTGCTACGTCTGTTCTTCTCATTCATTTCAACATATTCCTCCTCTTCGTCTTGCTCTGCATTGGTGTCAGTGGTGAGCTTGTCATTCTTCGTTTGCTCTTCAATGCGATCCAAGAGTGATCTGTCATCGTGAATATCCTCATATCCATTAACATTTATAAATGCACAGAACAGAAGAATTGCTGCGCATCGCATATGTCTGGAACATTGGAACTTTAACCGAAAGAAGACGTTAGGGACGCACTTCACGATAATATCGAAGTATATTTCTTGCGTCAAGCAACAGAAGTATAGGTACAGAAAAGTACATCAGTGGTGAAAAAAAACGAGGAAAGTCACCGGTTAGGAGAGTGTTATTGTGAAAGGGATAGCCGTACAAAGTTCTAGACTTGTGCAACTGCGTGAACAGGATACCTGTACGCATGATGGGAAGACTTCCACTATCGTCAAGGGTCGAGGCAATCAATTATTTAAGTTTTTAACATTTGTGATCGTGGTGAGTGACGCAGCTTCTTTCAGATCGTTGGAACACAATTGACTTTGAAATGTGGACGTCGACGACGCTAGCCTATCAAATCTTGTAGGACCTTACAGAGTCACTTCGCAGTCGGACAATGCTCACGTGCTTTGGCGACCAGTATTCCGTCCTATTATGAGATCTCAGAAATCAATTCATTATGGAGTTGCTTTTTAGCTACAACAACGCTCTTTATATTTTAAAGGACCGGTGCTCACAATCAGAGAGGGGAGGATTCACGGGAAAGGCCTCTCGAACATCTTACTAAGTTCACTTTGCTGTGGCAGAACGACTTTTCACCTTTCCGAGCTGCAAGGATTTCCCAGTACCTACACAATGTGTATAGCCAGCCTAATCGCTAGTTCTTTCTCTAAAGCGTTAATATTATACCTTACGCGTGGTCCACGAGATCAAATGCCATCCCAGCCTCTCAAGCTCTTCAGACCTCGTAAGGTCGGTGACGGGATCAGCTTAGAGTATAAATCATCCAATAAAATGCAACACATTTTCTCTCTCCGCCATCTGACTTCCCACTTCCAACTCACGTTAACGCCAAAAAACTTGCGGCCCAAGAAATACAACCCATGGCTTTGAATATTTGAAGGTTCGTCCATTGAAGGCATGTGGACGACGAAGCGTTGAATTTGCTACTTGTTGAGTCGCTCTTTATCAATTGAGGTATGAACTGAAATATAGTGACTCCAGCAAGCTTTCAAACACGTAGTAGAATTCCGCGTGTCCCTTCGCTGAAGCATATATCAAAAAACTAAGTCCGAGTTCAATTAGTATTCAAGAAAACTACTTCTCTCCTTTTTTTGAAAGTCGAGAGTACAAATAATTGAGCAGTACTACGCGCCTGATCGGAGATTCAACTCTACATCGATATACTACCTGGACAATCACGTCTTTCATCTCTCCGGGGTCGGATGAACGCTACTTGAATTTTTTGGCGGGTAAATCACTAGTTGGTTGACACTTGAAAGGGATTCTCATGTCCTAATTCCCTCGGTATCAGATGCTCGATAAAATAAAGTTCCTTTGCACTTCCACTTGTTCGCCTGTGGGAAATCATTACATTGGTTGGCTGCAGACCATTCTGCTAGACCAGACTCAGCTGGACCAGTATGATTGTAGGGGTTAGAAAAAATGATAAACTCAAACTAAACAAAGCAACAAGCTCCAATAATCATGAAATTTCCAACAATAGGAGCTGTGAATGTCAAAACCACCTTAGATGAAGAGGAAAAAAATCCCTGGTGCTGTAGCTCCGAACTCCTTTCACTCCTCAGAACCTGAGATCATTACGGACTCTCTGTACCCAGTCCCTTCATTCTCAGGCTCGCACGCGCATCTACAGAATGATATGTCACTGATAAAGCTCTACAGTTTTGGAGCATATATTATAGTGATTTTAATTTTTACATTTTGTCCAGCTATTTCGAAATGCTCAACACTAATAGTATCAGTAATAAAGGATTCAATTCGATGAATGGATAGTAGTTCATTTAAAAATGGTAGAGAGGTCTGCAGTCAACCAGTCAAGAGAGGTGACAGACCGGCGAGTGAGTGAAGAAAGTGCTAAGAACAAGACGGGACCAAAGTTTCTTGTCCTATTTGTCGTTTGACTGAAAAATTTCCTCTGATGATTTGGTTAACCTAATTTCATGGGTGCTGCTCAACAAGGTACCTGTAGGTTGTTACTAGTACCGGTTGTGTTAGGCCATCGATTCTAACTAGCTACTATTTGCTATGAATTCAACCGAGATATTGAATGAATCGCTGAACCTGCGGAAGCGGTCTCAGAGCCTCGCATTTTTGATCGGAGCTTCAAGTCGCAGCAGCATCTTCACTTTTATAACCAAATTAAATAACCTTGCCATGATTCTATGCTTAACAACACGATGATACTTGGGCCAGAATTTCTTCCAATTAGCTGAAGAAGGTGGAAGATCATAGGGTTTAATGTGAATCGACCATCAAAATACTGGAAAAACACAACGAAGGGAATGTGAATTTCTAACTATGTGGTAACAAAAGTGTGATCTTCAAGGAAATTAGATCGATTGTAAAACTCCTGTATAAAAAAGTGAGTATCGAATGATTGAAGTGAAATCGGCAGTAGCTATTAATGGCCATTATTCTGTGATTGAATCGCCTCGAACTGGAAATCCGATCCGGGACAAAATGGGTCACTTTGATATTGTTATCAGTCCCCTATTCATCACTTGTAGATGACGTCATTCATGTAGCTTCCGGAATACACCAAAGCCGCCAAATGAATAATTTATTAATAATTTTCATCACCATTTCATCATTACATGAGTATGCATACTAATTCTCTCTTTGTCGAAAGGCTGTCCTTTGCGTGGGTGATACATGCTGCGTGATGGGAAAGAAGGAGTTGATCTGAAATAGGGGAAGGAACATGAACTTTTCAAAGAAAGAACAACTAAAGATGGCAAAGAATTTGGGGAAAGAAAATTCCTGTGTGTATAAGATATTACAATGTCTAGTACTACTAAGTGTAGCCATTAAAACCCTGAGGTATGCAAGCTGAAAGTAGCCATTGACAGAGACGTCGGATCCATCTTTACTGTCGTGTATACCTCCAATTAATCGACCCTGTATCGCGAAACAAACCTATTGGAACCCTTCGAAATTTCTTCCTCTTTGAGGTCGGTCAGCCCACCCAGACCATCCCAGGAGGTTATTCGGATCGCTTTCACTTTTGATACAAAGGGACAGGCGAAACATGCTTCAAATGACATTTCGGAATGAGACAGGAGAAGGTACGGGCCGACTGCTCTTATAAAAGGGAAAGTTTGTGATCAGGCTGTTTCATTCGATGAACCGTGCTCGTATTACGTGAGAAAAAAGAGACAGGATTAATGTAATGCTAAGGCATAGCCCTGTTCAGAAAACAGAAAAATCAAAGCTCTGACTCTTCCTCAGCTAGCATACATACAAGTAAAATGCCAGTCGCATCACAAGCTAACGGCGAGCTCAAGACCTTTTCGTGTTGAAAACACACAAGGACAAATACACACACCGACACTTATCCACTTACTTACCATTGCCAACCAACACAAACTCCGACACATACATCGACACACATACTGACACACACACACACACACATACACACCGACACATGCACATCGATACAAACACCGAAATACACACCGACAAATACACATACACGCACCGACACAGACGCCAACACACACACACTCACACACACACCGACAAACACACACGTGCACACCGACAAACAGACACATGCACACACACATGGACATACACACACGCACATACAGAGCGACACACAGACACAACGGCACACAGAGGCAAGCTAGCAGACAGACGTATCACGTCATATATAGTAGTTCAAAGAGACAGACAGACAAACCGACAAGCAGACGGAAGTGGTTTATATAATAAATACATAGTAAGGATAACACAGTAACAGCAGCAAAGGCGTCAAAGTACAAAACTGACGCGTCCCACGTTGCTATGTTTTTTACTGAAACCAAGTATGGACGACAAAGCACCTCTAAAGCTTAAAATAACTAACGAAACTCAGAAACATCGGTTTCCTGTATTGAATTCCTTCTTTTTTGTGGAGCAGAACAATTATCTCTTCAGCTTTTCAGCCTCTTTCTAAAATTCACCACAAAAATCAGCAAATTATAGATTACCGAAAAAAACTTCTTGCCGTTCTATTGACTTTCAAAAAATTCTTCCCTGCTCCACGTTATCAGATCGAAATAAGGCAATCATTGCGTTTTTGGGAACGAACGAAATGATCAAAGCGTTCATTTAAAGTGAGAGAATTCGGACGCATTGAGGCCGTTGGAGATGGTTTCGAATGTTCCCGGTTCCCGGCAGGCGAGAGGCACAATAAGTATGGTGGCCGAGGCAGAGCCATGACCAAGGTTTTCAACTATTAGGTTGGTGCAAAAGAAATGCAGGTTTTTTGTTTTACTAGTTTCAACACTATTTTTTTAAAGAAGACTAAGCCTTTTTCATGAGGTATTATACATTGTTTGAAAGCTTATCCTTTGCGTTTTTTAAATCTGTATGTGAAATTTCATCTAATGGCTTAATTTAAAAAAATGTGATTTTTATTTTCAGATATCTAATCGCAATTTTCGTCAAAATTACTTCTATGAAATCAAACTGGGTCGGACTGCCGCTCAAACCGCTCGAAATATCAACGAAGTATGGGGCCAGGGAAGTGTCAACGAATGCACAGTAGAACGTTGGTTCCAAAAGTTCCGTGCGGCAACACCAGCCTCGAAGACGAACCACATGGCAGCCGTCTACCAACACTTTATAACGATCAATTGAAGGCCATGAAAAAGGCTTAGTTTTCTTTACAAAAAAATAGTGTTGAAAATAGTAAAACAAAAAACCTGCATTTCTTTTGCACCAACCTAATACTTGTTGTCGCAATGGAATGACCAATAAGGCACTCCTCATCTTTGAGGCTCATTTGAAAGCTAGGATATTACTTGAATCACAACTAAGACTTTGTTAGTGCATCTGATTCAAAGGTGGCTCGGCAGCTTTTGACCTGACTTGGAATGTAACAAGAACATTGTGTGAATTAAAGTGCCGAGAAAGAGGTTCAACTGTCCAAATATGACGAATAGATAGAGCAAAAAACGTACTTTAGAGTGATACCTAAGATTTAGGCGCTAAAATAAATGTAGTCGATAAATGTTTATGTGTAGTCACACTCTTCGAAGTATGAGTAACGAAAGACGCAAAATCTTCTTGAAAAACATAGGACTGGTTGAAAAAGAACATTTCTGCCGACAAGCTATCATTTTTTATATTTGCGAAGACCTCTTTATGCTTACCACATGCTCAAGTTCGTATGACCGATTCTCCAAACACTGTTGTCATTTGCAAATACCCTTCGAATTCTCAGATGAACTCTTACTTGGATATACATGGAGACGTACATGGAAAACCTCATTAGCCTTCGAGAAATCAGCATGTCGTTTTGAACGGAATAGGTTTTGATCAGTAGCGATGAGGAATGGATCGACTGGATGAAGGTTTTGCCCATATGTCATTGAGATGTCGTCCGTATCTGAACAGGCACTAACCAGGCAATGTAAATCTCCGCTTGCTATTGCATGTACAATTGGCGTCTTCAAACTTGACCCAAAAGACGTTGAGTCGTATAATGGGAGCGTTAGGGGTGTTACTAGGCAAGAATTATGCATACCATAAAACGGTACCATCTTTTTCTCATTAAATTATTTGATCAACTGATTGACGTACTCGTTAGTGTTCTAGCACAGAAACTTTGTTAGGTTGAATCACACGCACGTGCACGTAAGCAACATGTCAGTTATATTGTTCTCAGACATACTCTTGGACATTCTTTCACGAAACCCTCATCACAAAAGTTGCAGGCTAGTGTGCCCAGCCCCTGGTTTCCGATTTTCAAGAGAAAATGAACATGAAATTCAGAGTTGGGAAAATATTATCTACAACATATAATTGGCTAAATGTGTTTATTGGGTTGTCGGTGTGTGTGTTTGACAGCAAATTCATAACTCCTATTTAGGTGGACCTGAGGCGTCGATATTTGGTTTTACACCATATTTCAACGCTCTAGGTCCACCTAAACAGTTATGAATGAAAATGAAAAAAAAAGAACTTCTTTCTTGTCAACGATAGAGCCCTGGCACTTTAGTAAAGGAAGTGGATTAAAAAGGGATCGTAGATATTCAGCGAAAGGGGTTGATAACAACAGTTAGAGAGTGTTAATGAGCCATCGAAGGCGGGAATCATTAGGTCAACAACGTTTTTCGTATTAACAGTGGAGCACTTCAGTAGGTGGTGTGGGATAAGAAGGGACCGAGGGTGACTGGGGACAAAGAACCTAGAAGGCTGGCGCAACCAGACGTGTAATTTCCTTCGTGTCACCAGTGGAACCTTGGCATTTTGATAGGTGATACAGGTGTGACGTGATCGTAGGTACTCTGGAATAAGAACTGCTAACCAGTGATAAGAGCTGATAAGGTGCCTTAGAGAGCAAGAGCCACCTACCAATTTAATTTCAATTGCTCGGACCTGAAAATAAAGAATCAAGTCTGTTAGCGTTAATCAATCCCGTCTGAGGGATGCGCGCCCGCATTCGGCTTTAGAATCTTAGTGACGTAAAGAGTGCGTGCCACAGATTGATCAGACTTTCTGATCCAATCCTTCGCGATTTGGGAGACCAGATAACAATACAACGGATGTGAACTTTTCTTTTTCGTCTTGGTGCAGCTTTCACCACCGGATCCTCCGCTCCTTTCTCGCTCTCGAGGTCTGTGCTACGGAGCAGGGGTCTTCGCTGAGCAGAATTTTGATCTTTTGAAGAGCGATCTCCCTACAAGGACATACTCTATTTCCACTTGCTTCCCCCGACTGCTGCAAGTAATCTGCGTTTTCCTTGCAGACTGCTTTATGATGGGCTGTGACCTTTCAGAGAACCTCGTAGCTCCCATCCTGACTCGTAGCTCTCTACCTGCATGTTCCCTTTCTGAGCCCATCCCTTCAGGCTCAACCTGCCTTAAGCAACGCTATGGTTAAATAGTCCATTTCCATTTCCATCCCAAACTTGATCCGAATTCTCTAAGTGCTTCTTCAGGTAATACCGAATTTTGTGACAAAAAGGGGATGGACAAATGTGACAGACGGCAGATAGGCGCAAGTGCTTCATATATAGTAAGACTAGCAGTAGTGAAGGAAGTTGTAATGATAATGTTTTTGATGATATTTCAAATATCGGCTTACCACGATGATAGTTCCCGCTAATTGGTAGACGGTATCCAATTCCCTTCCCAACCGGAATTGGCAGATCGATTTCGCCTTCGTGCCCGTCTTCAATATGAACATTGGCCTCCACCTGAAATGAGCTGTGCTATCTTAGATATCCAACAAATCTGTTTTGCAATTGACGGGGGTACTGCAAGTTCTGATGGACAAACAAAATTGCTAGCCCAACTCGATGCCTAAGTGTTGACTATTCACATTTTTCTTTTCTTTTTCAATTCACATTTTTCTTTTTCATTCATTTTTTCTTTTTCAATTCACATTTTTCTAAATCTACCGGCTCGATCAGATCACACTCTCGTTTTCTGTGTCGAACAGACATTCAACCCACCTTGTTTACACTGATCAGTTCTGATATGGTATCACAATGTTTATATTATTGTACTACAAAACATGTTGCCTCTATAAAATCTAGGTGCCTCATTCCCTTCACTTTTTCGACCAGATCTTTTCCGACCTTTTCGTCATCCATCTTCCTCGTCTCATCTTTCGTCCGTCCAGTGACCAATCGCGAGACTGTTTGTGTTCCAACGGAATGAATGATCTCACCTCAGTACGATCAAGTGGCGTTCACGGCAGGATAGAAGAAACAATTCCAGAAATGTCTCCTCCTAGTCGAAGTAAAGGAGACGACAGTCAACGAGCAGAGCTGCACCTCCTGGAGCGGTACTCAACCCAATTGCGACGGTCCAGTATCCTCCGACAAGCAACGCGTCACTGCTCAACTTCGTGGACGCGTCGATCCTCAGTAAGTTGGAACTTCCATTTGTTATGGGAATATTCTAGAATACCCTGAATTTTCCTCACGTTTTGCAACATTAGTGGGAAGCAAAGTTCAGTTAGATGATACGGTGAAGTTTCTCTCCTAAAGTCTTGCCTCAGAGGGCGTNCCCTGCAGTCCATTCAAGGTTTATCGATGACGCCCGGCAATTACAAAATCGCAATGGATATTCTCGCCACCCACTACGATGAAATGGATATTCTCGCCACCCACTACGATGATAAGGTCACAGTGAAGCACATCCTGTACACGAAATTAGCTCAATTGCCGCATTGTGATCTCGAAGGGCGTAATTTGCAAACCATCTACAACCAAATGTTCACCCTCGTAAAAATTTAGTGGTGGGGAGGATGACTGCAAAGAGACCGGATTGGGAGCGATTTTGCTCAACAAGCCACCAGCACGGCTACTAAGTCAAATATATGATCGAACGGGGAACAGTCACAATCTGACGCCGACGCCGACCGAACTGCTAAACTTGCTCACCGATATAGTTCGTAAAGACGCAACCCTATTCGAGATGGAATATCACGCTCGCCCGAGTAACCATCTCCAGAGTTACAGCTTCCACGCCTCATCACGATCGAGTCCGGACAGGACACTTCCTTATAAGCATAAGAAAATGAGACCCTGCCCTTTCTGCCAGAGCAACGATCACATCCCTAATGCATGTGTTGCATTTCCTACACCTCAAGGACGGAGCCGTCTCGTCAAGCAACTACGCTTGTGCTACAACTGTCTCTCTAACCAACATTCGTCGAAGGAATGTACATCAAACAACATTCGTCGAAGGAATGTACATCGAAGCAGTCTTGTAAATCGTGCGCTAAACGCCACCACTCATCCCTATGTTTTGTACACCGAAGCGTGTCAAATCAAGAAAGGTGTCCACAAAGTATCACCCCATCCCCACCTAATCATTCTGCAGTTCAATCCCACCAACAATTCTCTGCTGCTGTTACGAATGAGGCTCACGTTGATAGCCGTTCGGAAGAAAACAACATGATGCATATCTCCCCTACGCCCACTCAGCTGACCTTGCACAACCTCGAAATCTCATCGGTTGAGCGCACATCAGCTACACTAATGTGCACTTCAATTCGCCTGTTTAACCCCTCCAATACCTTCAAAGAATCCTTCGTGACGGCATTCTTCGACTCAGGCTCCAGCCAATCGTACATCACAGACGAAGTGGCCGAAATTCTTGAACTTCCAAATCTTTCATTCGAGGACATTTCTGTCTCCACTTTCGGCACGGCAGCTCCCCTGAAGCTCAGATCTCGCAATCACATCGTCGGCATTAGTACAGAGAAGGGTGAAAGGCAACTCCACGTCAAGTCCTTGCCTACTTTGACTGGGCATTTATGTCACTCTCACTACATACATGACGTCAAGAGCAACGACATAACCATATCATCTTCTAAGCCGTCAATTTTGATAGGGAATGACTACTTCTGGGACATAATTTTATCGGATGACTTCCATTATGAAAAGCTCTCAAACGGATATCGTTTACTTCACACCACAGTCGGCAATGTCCTCGTGGGTAGTGCACTCAACCTCAAAAGTATCTCAGCATGCAGCACCAACTCAACGTCAAAAAACGAAACCTGTTCTAAGAGGACGCAACGGCAGGTTTCTAAGAATAAGATACCTTCGAATGAAACGTTGACCTTACCAGCTAATGCTGACATATCATGGGGTCCCAGTGTAGTGGTGGCGTCCAACAATGCAGTTCTTCACGGGCCGTCCTGAAGCTCAGTAATTCCAACAGAATCCGCCTCGACTTCCAGAACCAACTCAGCCTCGGAATCGAGAGCCAAATCAACCTCGAAACCCAGAATCCACCCTAAAAGGGAGCGGCGGCAGGTCACAAAGAAACCTTTGAGACAAATATCGGTCACTCCAGCCAATGCAGACATACATCGTGGACCATACCCTATGCAATAGAAGCATCCAACACCGCGGTACTTCACGGACCATCTAGAACACCAATCATACCGACGGCAGCACCACACTCAACAACTAGTGCACTGGTTGTTGAGGACCAAACGCCAAAAACTGCAAGCGAAACCAAATCAGGACAGAGCGAAGAGAAGTTACGCCAAGATTCAAAATAGTCAGGATAGACAACTATTTCTTCGGGAATCACCGCGATTGGCAACAGCTAGTCAAACACCATCAACCAAAACCGCTCAACTGGTGCCAAAGCTGTCGAAGGAGAAGAAATCGCAAAAACTCAGAATCGACGAGTTTCTCCATAAGCCTGCAAGCGATCAACAAAAGCAATCTGCATCACCTCAACCCCATTCAGAAGCAACTACCCATATTGAAAGAAAGGAAGTAGTTTCTCCTCGAAGCTTATGGCAGCTGGATTCCACTCAACAGCCTCAGGATCGAGATAGTCTCCAAACTGCGCGAGTAAGGACACCTCTGGATGCAGGAGTCAGGACATTATCAGGACCACCGACCTATCAGACCCTATCTCCTGCGTGCACAACTATCAAAGATTCGATGCCACCAAGTCCAGTAGTGACAACTGCTGCAGAAATTCCCATGTCCCCAACACCCAGAGTAAATACAGCTATCGAAGAGAGCTAATGTTACCCACCAGAGGAGTCGACACTACTGAAGAGACCGCCGAGAAAATCTACAAATATTTTTCGAACACCACAAACAAATGGCACTACGAACTGGACATAAGGTCATCGACTGTAATAATACAAGTGATCTCAAACTATTGGTGCTTTTGTATTGTTGCTTGTTCTCATTCTCCGGCGAGACGTAATTTATCTTGATCTCGTTTGTTGTCCTGTTGGGAGTTTCTTTCTGTATCGAACAGAAACTCAACCTTCCTTGTTTACACCGATGAGTTCTGATATGGTATCACAATGTTTATAGTATTGCACTACAAAACATTGCCTATATAAACTCTAGGTGCCCCATTCCCATTCCACTCGTTTCTATGTGCGAAATACTCGTCTAATTTATTTTCCTAACACTACATAGCGTTTTTTCCGTACTACCCGCATTAGGTTCGACAATGAGACTGCTCAATCTTTATGGTAATGTTTTTTGTTTTAGGCACGAAGACTACTTGAAAAGTGTTCCAGTTATTATCTCAATGAATAGGATGAAAGACTGACCGAATTTATCACGTCGACCCCACAGTATCAATGGCCCCACAGATTCCATTGCCATTACATTTGCTGTAGGCTTGGGACTTACCTAGTAAACCGTTCCATAATGGAATAGATCACATTGTCTCCAATCAAAAGTTCTGCCTGACCGACGGCACTGCTGTTCCAAAGTCGAAGCGAGAACAGACCCACCTCCGCGAACATCTCCGCTATAGTACTGGGTAACCAATGAGTCTATTGTTAGCGTATGTTGGGGAACGTATCTCTTTGAACACTCCTAACTCGATACCGTGAGATCTCAAATTACAGCATCTCATAAACGAATGCATAAAGAATCCTACTTCCGGCAGCCACGTCTACCTGCCTACCTACCAGCTCATGCAAGGCGGATATGTCGTTCCTTCTTGAATTTGAGACAGGTCGACATGCTATCACGTCGATGAAGAACATCCGACCTTAGGATCAAGCCACAACAGTTGAATATCCTTCCATCACCTATCGTTAGAGCTCTGGCTAGGCTCCTCACGCGGTACCTATCGGTATGCAAAGTGTCCACTCGTGGAAATCTAGCGAGTCGATGTTGTTGATGAAACAAGGATCTCAGCGATGCTGGCAACTATCGCCTGACCTGCCTGCTCTCTGTAATCTACAAACTTTTCACATACGGCATCCTCAGCAGTATTGCCGAGAATCGGGTGGAGGATGGTCCTTCGTGCAAGAAGGGTTTTAAAAAGGGTTAGTACAATCGATCACATCTACACAGCCACGAGACTCACTGAAGGGACGCAAGAATACAAGATATAGACGAGACAAGACGCAAGATATGCAAGAACATATCGCGAGCTACACGACAACTTCAGGACCGGGATATCGTCATTCTATAAAGAAGTCATCATCAATGTAAGAAGAGGGCTCGATAGGGCAATACCAGTTCGCCCAAACTTTTCAATGCCGCTCTCAAGAACACCATGCGTCGTTTGTAAAAGGGAGGACTCGGGAGTGAAGTCGATGGCCTCTACTCACATCACCTCCGCTTTGCAGATGACATCGTGCTTGTTGCACCAAAAATCCTTACTATATGTAAAGCGCTCGCGTCTNACACTCCTAACTCGATACCGTGAGATCTCAAATTACAGATCTTATTCTCATCTCATAAACGAATGCATAAAGAATCCTACTTCCGGNACTCACATCACCTCCGCTTTGCAGATGACATCGTGCTTGTTGCACCAAAAATCCTTACTATATGTAAAGCGCTCGCGTCTATCTGTTTGTCTGTCTGTCTGTCTGCCTGCCTGCCTGTCTGTCTGTCACGAAATCCGATACTACCTGAAGGAACACGTGGAGAGGTCGGGTCAAGTTTGGAATGGGTTGAGCATAGGGCAAGACCAACAGAGCACAGGTGAGCTCAGCGGAACTCTGCCCCAAGAGGAGGGGCATGCGTCGGAATTGGTAGGGGCCTGGGCGTATTCTTTTCCTATTCGGTCTCATGACAGTCCAGGCGCCGGGAAAAATTATGCAAAGGAGGGGTATGGGTCAACAATTACTTACCAGCGGTGGGCGGAGCGTTCTCGCACTGGGCGGTACTTTCCACAGAGATTCATAACTCGATCCAACGAAGGCGTCGAGGCCAGGAAAAAGAATAAAAAAGTGAGAAAGGTCTTACGCGTGTTGGGCATGCGTTGGCTTAGCAAAGCCCCGCCCACGATGGGCGGGGCTCACGTTAAGATGAAAGCTACTTTTTAAAAATGAGTGTTACTACGCTCGGAAACGTTCTAGAAAAAAGTGGTCAGAGGTAATGGAACAAATGTGGTCGAATTCTCGAAGTAGGCGGGATTGGCACCAAAGGAGCAGGGCTTAGATTAAAAATTTATAACTCTTTTGAGAAACGCTCTGGGATGCGGGAGAAAAGTGGTATGATGTAGTAGAACAAATGTGGACAGATTCCAGAACTTGGCGGGATTGGCGCTAAAGTGGGCGGGGTTTACATCGAAATTATCAAGTCTTTTAAGGTGCGTTTTAGAACGCGAGAACAAGGTGTCTGGGGTAGTAAACGTAATGTGGTTCGAATTCTGAAGTGGGCGGGGTTTGCAAAGAGGGGGCTGAGATCATAAATTTATCAATCAATTTATCTGTCCTTCACATTTACCCGAGGTAAACAACTAAGATTTACCCGAGGTAAACAACTAAGGGATACCACTAAACTCTTTCAAGAATCAGGCTGAAAATTTTCTAAAATCTAGTATTTATGGTTCCACACACAGTAATCTCTTCTACCCAAGAGCAAATGTGTGTAAATGTAAATGTAAAGACGTGTAAATCCCTACAACTACCTAAAGGGGCTTTCCTTTTGAAGTTAGTGTTCATGGCCACACACAGCCCGGTTTCTTCGACTACATGTACTGCAGAGGTATTTGATTTGGTTACATTGGAGTACTCTTCATGGCCACACACGGCCCCCATTTCACATACCAAAAATGATGGCCGCTACAGAAGTGTCCTGGAAGAGGCTCAGATGATGAAGGTCTATAATGAAAATCAGAAGCATAGGGCTCCGTCCCTCATGGCTAGAGCCCCTGGCGCACGCAATAGCGTGTGCAGCCGCCTGGTCAAGCAATAAGTGGCTTAGACTGCACTCAATGAAGAAGATGTTAATGTGAAACGGATTGGAATCTGATGCTCCATTTACATTAATCGTGCGTGCGTTGGGAGACTGTGCGTGCGTGTGCGTGAGTGCGCGAGACTAGGTCGAGTCATCATAATGGGAGACTTAGCTCCGGAGCTTGGCAAAATGAGAAGGCGTGGAGAACATTCGAGGGCATCGATGGGGGATCGAAAAAAACAAGAAAACACCTTTTTGCACTCAACTTTCGACAGTGGTGGGGTCTTTGCTGTTTTAAGGTATGCAGGAGACTTGAAATCTGCGAAAGCAGTATGAGCATGCAGCGCTCTCAGAAGGACAGCGCTAGGAAAATCCCTGTGCACACAAGTGCAACAAAGAATCCGGAGTTTTGAGCTCAGTCAGAACACCTTGAGCACCA